CCGTACGGTGGGGGCCCCCGCCCCCACCGGGCCCCGGCTACGGCCCCCCGCCCCCGGGCCCACCCTATGGCGGTGTGGGGGGCTACGGTGCGGTGCCGCCGCCCCCCTACCCCGGCCACCAGTACCCCCCGCCCCCTCCCCACCAGCAGTACCCTCCCCAGTACCCGCCGTATGGAGGGCCGGGGTACCCGCCCTACGGCCAGCACCCCGCCAGCGACCCCGGAGCCGGCGGGCACCCGCCGCCCCCTCCACACCCTGGAGCAGGGGATGGGGGCCCGCCGCCCCCGCCAGGCGCGGGTGCCTACGGCTACGGCCCCCCCGCAGACCCATACCATGGCCAGTACGGCGCCGCCCCGCCTCCCCCGCCTGCTGCTGCGCCGACGCCCGCCGACCTCTACCCCGGCGCGTACGCGCCGGGGCCCGCCCAGTACCAGTACGCTGCGGCGCCGGCGGAGGAGGCACCGCCGCCGCCGCCACCCCCGGCACCCGCACTCCCCGCGCCCGAGGGTGGCAGCGTGCCGGCCCCCACGCCAGCACCCGTGGAGAGCGAGTACGAGCGCTTCATGGCCGAAATGTCCTCTCAGTACAAGTGATTGCACATGTACATGTCTAGAACGCGAGCGCGGGCCGGCACGCAGGATCACTGGTTGGGGGGGTGGGGGTGGGCGCGAGATCGGAGGTTGTCCTCGGCACCCCAACCACCGCGATGTTTCGGGAGCGCCCCTGGCAAAGTGCTCGATCACTGCTATTCTATTCTTCAATACGAACCAGCTTGCAATGCACACAAGATAGCAGTCCGCGAGTGGCTTCGAGCTGGCTTTCAACTCCAGGGCCCATGCCGGGGCCCGAACAGGTGCTCTCCTCGCTGAGCACTGAACTGGTGGCGCAGAGGTCCTCCAGGTCAGCCGACAGTCGACTTGTGGTTCCATCATCCAGTCCGCCCCTCTCCCCCTCGCTGCGAAGAGTCTGGGGGGACAAACGCGCTCCTAGGTGGGCCCAGGGTTGTCAGCATGACGTGACCACTCCCCATCAGCACGGCGCGAGGCGCCTTGTTCCAAGCTGGGGCATGGGATCGGATGCATACGTACTGGGGGATTCTAGGGGATCAGACTGCGCATGCTCCCGATCGAGCGGCATGCGCTCTCCAGCAAGGCGCGATCCTCCCGCCCCCTTACCCCTCCTGCAGACCCACATCCCCCCTCCCCTCCCCGGTGATGCTGCGGGGCCCCTCGCCCACCAGCGTCTCCGACAAGACGTCCAGGACAGATGAGGAGGGCTTTCCCGTGCTGGTGGATGGCGCCCTTGCCAGGGTTCACCTCGACCTGCAGGCGGAGGTGCTGAGCTGGACACTCGAGCTGGGGGGGCCCCTGTGCTGTGCTCCGGGCCAGCGCTCTACCTCCCTGCCCGTCACCGAGATCCTGGCGGTGGAGATGCAGGCGGCCCGCATGCGCAGGGTCTGGCGGTCCTGGCCTGAGAAGGCAAGAGGGCGGGGGGGGTCTCGGGGGGTGCAGCCACTGTATTTGGAGATTGCCAACCATGCCCACGCCGCTGCGCCGATGCACATCCACCTCAGAGCAACACATCCCTCTGTCCCCATCCCTTTCTCGCCGGGCAGGCCCATGCGCTGGTCATCTACACCTTCCAGCGGTCTCCCTCCAACCCCTCCTGCTGGCACCCCCGCCAAGTCACGTTCACCTCCCCGAATGAGGTGCGGGTGGTCCTCGTGCCTGGTGCCTGGGGGTTGCTGGGGCCGTGGACAGGGCGCAGCCATGCGGTGCTCTGCCGCCTGCGCTGCGGAGCGCATCGGTGCGGGAGTGAGGCTCTTGGGGGCTGCACTGCGCCCCACCCCGCCACCGCCACCCACATTTCGCTTTGCAGAGAGTCCCCCCCAACCCCCAAAAACACATACACATGCACACACTTCTCTGCTACTCCCATGCAGGCCGTCCTGCGCGCGTGGGAGGCGGCGGTGCGGAGCCTGCTGCAGCGCCAGGCGCACCGCCCCCGCCACCTCCTTGTCATAGTCAACCCGTACGGCGGCTCGCGCCTGGCCCGCGCCACCTGGGCCACCACCGTGCGCCCCGTGCTGGCCAAGGCCGGCGTGCGGTGCACGACTCTGGAAAGCGCGGCGCGAGGCCACGCCGCCGACCTGGTGCGCCGGCACCTGGAGGCCCTGGAGGCGGGGCCCCACGATCCCGGGCCGCCCGTGGATGGCCTGCTGGCCGTGGGCGGCGACGGCCTCTTCCACGAAATGGTCAACGCGCTGCTGGCGGCGCGCCTGGCGGCGGGGGGGCGGTCGCGACGCCTGGCCGCGCTGCGCCTCGGCCATGTCCCCGCGGGCTCCACCGACGCAGGTCGGCTGTCGTTCGCATTCTTCCTGGACTGTGCACTGGCTGACCTCTTGTTGTTGTGCCCTGGGAAGCCTGGCCGCAGCGCCTGGCAGGCTGCATCGCATCGCAGGGCCTGAGGCTCGCCTGGCCCAGGAGCTACGGCCCCCTCCTGGTTTGTTGCGCCGGACCAGGGCCCTCAAACTCCCTCACACAATGTTTCACAGTGGCGTGCACGCTGAACGGCACCCGCTCGGCCTTCACCGCGGCGATGCACGTCGCTCTGGGCGACCAGGTGCCCCTCGACGTCCTGCGCATCGACACCGCGCAGCCGCACACCGAGTTTGCGGTGTGCATGGCCAGGTGCGCTGGTTTGTCGGGATGGGTGCAGGGGAGGTGGGGTAGGGGAAGTTCGTGTGTGTGTGTGGGAAGGGGGGAGGCGCCGGCGTACGTTTCGATCAGGCAGGGACGCTGGTGCGGCGTCCCAACCTGATTTGATTCCCTGATGGACATTGCTCCTGCGCCCAAAATCTGCCAAGCCTTGACAAAGGACACTCGAGGTCCCACCCGATCACACCTCCCAGCTACGGCTTCATGGGCGACCTGATGGCCGAGTCGGAGGGCCTGCGCTGGCTGGGGCCGCTGCGGTACGAGGTGGTGGGCGCGCGCATGCTGGCCGCCAACCGCTCCTACCGGGCCAGGCTGTCCTACCTGCCACCCCCGCGCGAGGCCCAGCCCAGCTTCACGCGGGCCTGCAGGGCGGGGTGCGATGCCTGCCGCGCGGGCTCGCATCCCGCGCCGGGCGACGCCGAGCTGGGGCGGCCGGCCACCGTGCTCTGGCAGACACGGTGGGTCCTGGGGTCGAGCGACCGTGTCGGCTGGATCAGGCGGGCAGGCACGGCGCGCTGGGGTCCTCTCAACCCCGCGGCATCCCCTTGTGCACACAAGCGGGGAAGGCCAAACCCAAACCCTCCAACCCCCCCGCCCCAAACCCAACAGGCGGTCAGAGTGGGTCACACTGGAGGAGGAGGAGTTTGCTGGGTTCATGATGGTGGTCATGCCCTGCCGCAGCGACAAGTCAAAAAACGGCGTCGCCAAGTGAGGCGGGTGTGTGATTCTGTACTTGCAGAGTTGCTGTCAAGCGGCAGCATCGACTCTGGCTCAGCACCCACCGCAGCTGGGACTGGGAATTGAGCTGGGGGTGTTCAGTGGTTGATCCCCTCGTATCCCATGCAAAACCCGCGCCTCATCTCCCGGTGCAGGTATGGCCACCTGAGCGACGGCAAGCTCCACCTGGTGGTGATCAAGCGCTGCAGTCGCCTGATGTACCTCCGCTTCCTCCTGCGCATGGCGCACATCGGGCTGGAGGCTGGGGGCGACCACGGCGATTACATAAAGGTCATCCCTGCCCTCGCCGTCCGCATCGAGCCGGTGAGAGGGGGTGTTATGGGTGGGGTTTGGGTACAGGGAACAAGGGGTCCCATCCTTGGGGGTCGGTGGAGGGCTGCTGACTGTGCCATGCGCGATGCATGCGGCCTCACCCTGGCCCCTCCCCTGTGTCACTCATGAGAAGCCCCTTCAAAAATGTCCGACTGCACCCCAGATCGGCAAGGAAAGCCAGTGGAACGTTGATGGCGAGCTCCTGCCCAGCAGCATTTTCACTGCACAGCTGCATCGCGGGGCGGTAGACGTTTTTGCCAGAGGCGTGGACGGCTGACACCGGCCCTCGTGGCTGCTTCACATGTATGCCATGCCAGTACTTACGGCAAGTTGAGTCACCCCGTGTTGCCACCTTGGCAACCTCCCTCTTTCTTTCCCTCCCCATCTGACACGCCTTGTTCCTAATCCTGTCTGACGCCAAGTAGGTATGCACTGTCCTCTGTCAACATAGGCCTTGACTGCCACGGGCAATTCCCGGCAGCAATGCAACCTAAAGGGTGGACCTCGGGAGGCACATTTGCGCCTGTTGCCCCAACATCAAGGAGAGTGAGCATGAGGCTCTGGTTGATTAGATCGCAGGGCTTGAGACTCTGCCGCCAGCCCACCACGATGATGCCTCACTCCTTCTCGGATGGCCGAACCTGGCCCTCCCAGGACGCCTTCCACTGCAAATGAGATGTGCAAGGGAAGGGGCTTTCCGAGGATGCATGACCACCTGTGACTCTTCTCCATCAAGAGGGATCCATCCCAAATCATTGCCCCCACTACCATCTGCGTAAATCAGCATACCTGCTTGTCGTAAAATGTGGCCTCGTCAAACAGGTTCTTGTACTTGTTGAAGTCGCCGGTGGTGCGGAACAGGAGCACTGCAATTGGACAGGGTCGGGACTTGACGATGGAAAGGGTAGGAGCAACACTGTGCTTGCTTGCCACAAGTCCCCCACGCCCAGTCATATCACGCAAATGGGGCCCTCACCTCCAAAGACGGCGACGTGCAGCACCACCTTGCCGAGGAAGGACTCCTGCTGATCCAACAGGCCGACACCCGTCAGCTTGTCCACTCCCAGAGCCAGGAAGTATCCCAGCATGGCTGCCCTCCCATTCAGCTTCTCTGCCTGTGGGGATTTCATACCGCATGGGGTTGTGTGTGCCAGTTTGAGAGGCGCTATGATATTGAGGAAAGCACCCTTCCCAACCTGGCATCACACCACCAGATGTTTGATAGTAGCGCTGCATGGTCCATTGAGTCAACCCACCTCTGGGAGATGGAAGCGGCGAACCCAGGCCCACCAGGGGATCTCAGAGGTGTCAAACCTCACGGGGTCTTCGTTGACTGTGTTTGATGGAGTGGGGTGAAGCAAGGTTGAGAGTGCAGGTGTCGAGCCTGCATGACCCAGAGAGGATCTGAGGGGCTACAGTCCTTAGTGATGAGGCCCCCTCCTGGAACATGTTCAGCAATCATCCACACACCAGAGGGGATGGGGTTTCCCTCCAGCATCCTCCGGCGAGTCATCTCGGCCGTGATGACGGCATCCCAGTCCATGTTGCCCTTGGAGTCGCGGAAGGACTCCAGGACCCAGCGCCCCTCCTTCCAGCGGGGCTCGGTAAACTTGCCGTCCACCACCTGAGGCTGGAGGGAAGCCGTGCTCTCCCCTGCGGCCATGGCCTTGAACTTGTCAGAGGCATCCTTGCCCGCCGCGGCCTCCCCTTGCAGGGTTCCTCCCCGCTGCAGGGGCGATGCCTTGCGATCCTGTCGCGGTGAAAGAAAAGCTGTATTGTGAGAGAAGGTCAGCCACTTGAGTACGCACCCAGGCGATGCTTGTGAAACAGGAGTCACCAGTGCGGAAGGAGTCCGCAGGCCATGCGATTAGCTCAGGATCATGCTCCTCCCTCTCAGATACTATGTTCACCCCAAATCAATCCCTTTGCAAACCTTCTTCTCAATGGTTGCGGTGTTCACTGTGTTGTTCTCCGCAGCGCCAGCATGGGTGACCGTCCTGCCAATGTGGTTCATTGCGAGATACTGTGGGTAAACAAGATCTGCCGGGGGCGAGATGTCCGGAGCCTGCGAGTGTCGAGGTCCATGGAGATGTGCTTAACCAATCCAGAAATGAGAAGGGACCCCTCCCACCTCGTGGGTCCCCGAACAGCGCGGGTGGTCCTCGAGAATGCAGCTCCCTTCAAGCTGGCCGAGCTTGCACGAGCGTGCACCGCAGGGCACTGGTTCAGGCACGCCATGATGATCCTTCGGCCGATGCACCGGTATTCTGGTCAACTTGATTCCCACCAGGTGCGAGCCTCCAGAATCGCATGCCCGTGCCTCTCGGTGAAGCTCAGCTCGATCATGTATGCGCACATTATCCTCCTGCATGACGGGGAGTGACAGGGTCCCGGGGTCGACTGCTATGGTCGCCCCACAGGGACACAGCTCACGATGCGATGATGCTGCATCGCGGGCGCTACCCCCTTCGGATCGTCAATGGTGGACGCTGGGAGGCGTACATGCACAGTTTCGCAGAGCCCATAGCTCTGCCTTAGATAGTTACAAGTCCTCAGATCTCGACACCGTCAAACCCCCCTCCTCGCCCCTGCATTGGCTGCCATTCTGTCGCTTCCTCCCTTGCCTCCCCGGTCGACCCTGCCAGAATGGTGTGTGCCCTGGGCGTAGCTGCACCCGCTTCCAGCAAGCAGTGTGTCGCAGGAAAGGGCTTGAAAGCGAGTAGCAACGCCCTCGGCGTCCGTCGACGGGCAGGTGGGACCGGCACTGCTGTGCCCGGCGTGGTGGCGTAAACCATATGACTGCATGCCCGCACACTCCCCTGCGCTATTACAATGATGTCCGCCCTCCACAATCTGATGGCGTGCCTGCATTGCTCCGATCATGCCCTGTCTGGGGAGCAAGTGTGCCACCCTGACCCCCCCCCACCTCCCCCCCAATCACCACCAGGCCGGAGCCCGGTGCTGGCCGTCAAGCGGGATGCCGCCGACCCCAAGAGTCGGGTGGTGATCACCGGCCAGGGACTCGCTTCCGTGTTCGGAAACGACGTGGACACCTTCTACGACTGCTTGCTGGAGGGAAAGAGCGGCGTGGACACCATTACCAGGTGCAGGCCTGCCCTGAGTTGGGCGTCAGGGCTGGGGTGGTTGAGGGATGGGACTGGTATGGGCGATGGCAGGCTGTTGGTGACAATCATGATCCCACTCCTCCCTCAAGCGCCTCCTCTGCATCACCCAGGTTTGACATCACCGAGTTCCCCACCAAGTTTGCCGGCCAGATCAAGTCCTTTGACGTGGAGGGCCTGGTGGACAAGAAGAATGCTCGGCGGTACGACGACGCCCTTTCCTATGCCATGGTCGCATCTAAGAAGGTGGGTTGATTGTGTGTGAGGCAGGAGAACCGAATCGGGACCCCGCCATGGCATGCCAGGGCGTAGGTATTCAACACCCCCCCTCCTTCCGCACTGAATGCATGACCTCCAGTCACTCCCTTGCTTTCTCACCTCCACTCTTTTCCCTGCCGCTGCACAGGCCTTGCGTCAGGCGGGTCTGGAGAAGGAGGCCTGCCCCGAGGGGTACGAGAAGCTGGACAAGACGCGTGTAGGCGTGCTGGTAGGCTCCGGCATGGGCGGCCTGACCGTCTTCCAGGACGGCGTCAAGGCCCTGGTGGAGAAGGGGCACAAGAAGATCACGCCCTTCTTCATCCCCTACGCCATCACCAACATGGGTGGGAGGAGGAAGCGGGGCCGACCTGGGTGGGGGAAAGTTTGCTTGGGTCAGCGTGGGCGTGTGGCGCTCGTTCTTTCTCTGATCCTGGGCGCGTCGCTGGAACGTGTCTCCCCATCGCTTCAGAGCCCCCCCGGACCCCCGCCCCCTCTCCCTCAAACAGGCAGCGCGCTGGTGGGCATCGACCAGGGCTTCATGGGCCCCAACTACTCCATCTCCACCGCCTGCGCCACGGCCAACTATGCATTTGTGAACGCGGCCAACCACATCCGCAACGGCGACGCGGACGTGATGGTGGCGGGCGGCTCCGAGGCCTCCATCGTGCCCGTGGGCCTGGGCGGCTTTGTGGCCTGCCGCGCGCTGTCTACGCGCAACTTTGAGCCCTGGCGCGCCAGCCGACCGTGGGACGCGGGCCGCGACGGCTTTGTCATGGGCGAGGGCGCGGGCGTGCTGGTGCTGGAGTCCCTGGAGCACGCCCAGGCACGCGGCGCCACCATCCTGGCCGAGTACCTGGGCGGCGCCTTCACCTGCGACGCGCACCACATGACCGACCCCCACCCTGAGGGCCTGGGCGTGAGCACCTGCATCCGCCTGGCCCTGGCCGACGCGGGCGTGGACCGGGACGAGGTCAACTACATCAACGCGCACGCCACCTCCACGCTGGTGGGCGACAAGGCGGAGATCAAGGCCGTGCGCGGCGTGTTTGGCGACATGCGCGGCACCAAGATGAACGCCACCAAGTCCATGATCGGGCATTGCCTGGGCGCGGCGGGCGGGCTGGAGGCCATCGCCACCATCCAGGCCATCCGCACGGGGTGGGTGCACCCCACCATCAACCACGACGACCCCATCCCGGAGGTGGAGGGCATCGACATCGTGCCCAATGTCAAGGCGCGGCATGACGTCCGCGTCGGCATCTCCAACTCCTTTGGCTTCGGCGGGCACAACTCCGCCGTCGCCTTTGGGCCCTACAAGGAGGCATGAGGCGGCGGCCGAGTGGGTGGGAGTGGGGCTGGCGCGGCGCGAGGGAGGGCAGGCCCTGCTCTTCCACGCATATCGACGACCCCCCGGCGCCCGACTTGGCTGCCGATCAGCGACCCGGGCGCCAGCCCGAGAGAATGAGCTTTGCTGCAGGGCGCTCAACTGTGCCAACCGCAGCGCCCCTCAGGGACCCAGGCATGCCCCCCCTTCCCCAATCCCTATAATCGTCTTGTGTGAATCCATCTCTTGACTGGCAAGGACTGTACACAGCACAAAGGAGAGTCTTCACACCATATCATGTGGGAATGCCTGGATAACTTATCAGCCTGTCATGCTTGCAGTTGCGGCAGGGAAGTCGCAACCTCTGTCATGCATGGGCAGCGAAGGTCTGCTCAGACCCAGAGAAGCTGCGACTCCAGGCCTGACGCCGAACAGGAGGAATGGCGGATCCCAGGCAGGCGCCAACCCAGGACGGTCTACCCCTCCCCGCCCTCAGAACTGCTCGCTGCGGCTGGCCACGGCGGCGCTCACCCGGCCCAGCACCTCCTGCCAGGTCAGCGCGCCCACCGGCCCGTCGCGGTAGGTGCGCACCGACAGCGTCCCGGCCTCCGCCTCCGCCGGTCCCACCACGCACATGACGGGGACCTTGGCCTTCTCCGCGTTGCGCACCAGCTTTCCCATGCTCATGCCTGCCGTGGGTGTGGGGAGGGGTGTGTTGAGGCTGGTTTCGGTACCAGAGGGGGACACATTATCTCGCGCCGGCACACCTGGGGCAGCCTCCGCCCCCATGAACGCAGCCGACCACCCTGCAGAACCCCCCTCCCACCCCCAGGCCTCGCACCTCCCGCGACCTCCACGCGAATGTTGTGTGCCCGCATGGCGGACGCCACCTCCTCCATGTACGGCCTCACTGCGTCGCTGGTAGGCAGCAGCCTGACCTGCTCAGGCGCCAGCCAGAGCGGGAAGGCGCCTAACAGGAAGGAGGGGGGGGGGCCGGACAAAGCATTGCACAGCGATGAGAGGGATGCGAGGATCGAGGGCATGGCTGCCTTTGATCAATAACAGGGCTTGAGTTCCAACCCCAGGCTGCCGGCCCAGCTGCAACAACACAGCATGATCAACCAACTGATCACCCCCCCCCCCCCCCCCCCCCAAAACCCCCCCCCCCCCCCCCCCCCCGGGG